TGACAGGTGTAACCTCTGTGGATGACAGCAACAGTTACTGGAGGATACGGGGGAAGACTGCTACAGTATGCGAGAGGGGAACTCCTGTCAAATGTGGCCAACCTATCCGGCTGACACATGTCAACACTGGAAGAAACTTGCACAGCCACCATTTCACCTCCCCTCTGTCTGGTAACCAGGTGAAGTGGCATTGCTGCTCTCCGTGACTCATTTGGGTGGTTGTTTGACTTCCGGTTATCTGACCTCCTGATTCTTAGCCCTTTCGTTTTCAGGCGTAGGTGTTCTCTTTTCTGCAGACTAGAGAACTAGCTGTGTCTATTAAGTAAAAAGATAATTATTTCTGGCCAAAATGGAGACTTTATATCTAGTCCAATTCAAGAAATGGGGAGGAAAGACAGTAATTATACCTAAGCATATAATACATTCTGATAAAGCCTGCAGAAGAGAAACTGAGTGTTTTCCAAGTATATTATAAGTTATTTATTTTTAATAAGCCTGACTAACCATCTTTTCCTCCCACCCCCCACTAACCATCTTAAAGAACTAATCTATAGGCTGTCCTTTGGGAAACTCTGTATTAGAAAAATAAACTAGGCATTGTGTCTTTTTTTTTTTAACCTTAAGCTTCCAGAGGATGTGGACCCCTCAATGAACTGCTTAAAGACTTCCCCCATCATCACTTCTATCTGTGTGGTTTCCCTTTTATGAGCATTTTACACTGCCATGGTACATTTATTGCAATTAATGACCCATTATTAAGTTATTATCACCTAAGATCAACTTTGACTATGAGTCGCAGGTGACTCGACGGCACATAACAACAACAACAACAAGATCAACTTGTTAATTTCTGTTTTTCTTAAAGTTGGTTTTAATTCAGTCACTCATATGTTTCATTTTATAACAATAATTACAGTTATATATTGTCATTAATTACAATGTCCTGTTGAAACCTCCCTGTACTCTTTTTCCCCTTCAACTTACCTACCGGTTTGCTAATCTATGCTCCCTCCTCCTCCACTCCCATCCCTGCCTAATAGTAATAGTTTCTATCTGTGGGCAAACTTTCCTGTATTCTATTTTTTATTTCACTCTCTCCTCTTTCCCTTCCCTGTTTGGTCAGTTAGGCATGTTTTGTTTCAAATTGTTAATTGCAGTGCACATAATGTCCAACCAGCCATTCATTTAAGGTTGATTTTCCTTTCCCTAATCCATTACAAGGGCGCTCTCTGGTGTCTCAGTGTTAAGGAGTTGTCCTGTCAACCCAGAAGTACCTGGTTTGAATCCACCAATTGCTCCAGAAAAGAAAGATGAGCCGTTTATAAGCTTTTAAGACTTCAAATTGCTGTTTACCAAATATGGTCTTTGGAGCTAGGTTATGTCAGTTGACCTAGATGTCCTCTGAGAGTATGGTCCCCATCTTTACAGGTTTTTGATGTTTTTAAGCAACACTGGACAGCCTCTCATTTTTCACTTTTGGAGAAGCCTTGTTTTTCTTCATATTGCCCTTTCCTCCTTTGCAGGCTTGTGTGTCAGCTCATGCTAATACTGTCATTGTCTGTCTTCCAGGAAGTCAGTGCATTTGGAGAAGAAGGTGAGGGTGATTATCTGGATGACTGGACAGTGCTGTGTAATGGACCCTACTGGGTAAGGGATGGTGAGGTGCGGTTCAAACA